CATATAGAACAATCTCGAAATGATTTAATTCGTGTTGAAAATCTTCTAAAATCAGGTGGATCAATTCGTTCATTTGAAGGTCAATGTTTATTAGCTAAATTATATTATGCTCAATCACGTTATGATGAATGTTTAACATATGTTAATTTAGCAATTAATTCAATACCAAATGATATTAATCAATAACCAAATAGATCTTCTTTATTACTTGCAGAAATTTATGCACTTAATGTACTTTTATTAGAAAAAAAAATGAAAATTTACTTTTTGAAATAATTAAATCATTTGATGATTCTTGTAAATTAAGTCAAACATATTATGCTGCTGTTGAAAAATCTAAACATTTAAGTAATGAGAATTTAGATATTGAAAATTCTTTAATTGAATTAACTTATCAACGTTTATCACTTTTACATGTTTCAAATAAGTTAATTCTTTTTTTATAAAAATTAATATTTATTTTAAATAAATATATATATATATCTTTTTTGTTTAGTAATATAAAAACAGATATTGAAATATTTCGTTCATATATTCAAAATGTTCATATTAAATCATTAGAAACAATGACACAAGTTTGTTTTAAATAAATTAAATAAAATCTATAAGACTTCTTTTGTTTTTGTTAATATAGACATTAATTAAACAATATGCCGAATTATTATTAAAATGTGTTGATAAAGGAAATTATATTCCAATAATAAGTTCAGATGATAAAACTAATAAAACTAATCGTCGATCATCTCAGTAAGAATAAATAAAGAAATGAATAAATAAATAAATTAATTAATTAATTATAAAAACTAGATCATAATTTATTCCTCTAGATGTTGATGAAGAAATTTTGTTATTATTATTATTGGGTCAAACATCAACATTAAATGAAGCTGTACATGATTGGCAACCTGAACATGAAGGTCAAAGAGAACGTAGTCATCAAGCTGCTTATAATATTCTTGCTCTTCTATCTATATTTCTTTCTCGTAAACAAGCATTTCATATTATTGCTGATGTAAATTTTTTTTTATTTATCTTTTATAATAATATAATATATCTATATATGTCTAGTCTTATGAACGAGCTCTTCGTTTTTCATTTGAACATTTTCAAACATCGTTTAATTATGGATTATCATTAATATCATCAGGTCAATCATATCGTGCTTATCTTATATTAAAAGAATGTTTACG